TCTCGACGTGCCGCAAGTGAGCGACATGGGGGCGTTAACCGCGGCACCGGAAAAGAAGGTCATCAATATTTTTCGCGATGGCCGTGTGATGCTCGGAACTCAAGAGGTTAATCTCGAGGATCTTCGAACGCATCTGGCCGCTTCTCAGGCAGAATATCAAGACTTAGGTGTTTTGGTACGTGGCGACAGCGACGTTCCGTTTCAGCAAGTGGCGACCGTACTTACGACCGTCCGCCAGGCAGGCATTGCAGAAATGGCTATCTCGGTCCGGCTTTCGGCTGAACGGAGGTAACGCGTGTTTCCGTCGACGTTCTGCTTGATCGCTGAGCTGAGTCAAACGACCTCGCAGATTGTCTGGGGCGTGTTGTGGGGAGGCTTGGCGTTTATCACGTTGTCGCTCCTGATCCTGATGCAGACACGTTGGGGACAAGCTCGACCGGTTTCGAAGTGCGTCGTCCTGTCGATCTTCGCTCATTTGCTGCTGATGACCTATGCTCAGGTCACCAGCTTGTTTGCTCCTACGGGGCCTGGCGAATCTGCTCCGGTGAACATTCGATTGAGCCAGATCGATTTTCAGCAAACCGAAGAGGCGGACGCTCGCAAAGAAGTGAAGCCATGGGACCAACTTGCCATGTCCCCTGCCCCTGTCGAAGGTATGATGACACCGCTAGAGCGGATGGAAATGCCGACGCCCGAACTACCGATGCCATCGCTGCCCCAGCCTCCGATACCTCAGGCACCGCAGCGCGTCTGGGATGTTCCCATGCCGGAGCCTGCGTTGGATCAAATCGTTGAAAACGAACTTCCACCGACCGGACCGCTACCGGAACTGGAAACGCCGTCGACTCCGGTTTCTGCCAAAGAGATGGCTCCCCCTGATCCTGCGAAATCGACAGCTCAAGTCGAAAAGCAAATAAGCCCAATGCCGATGCCACAGCTTGATCGCATCGACCGGGCCATGCCGCAAGTGCGAAGGGCTCCGCTGCCAACGCCGGTGGCAAGCGATCCATCCAACGATGTGCAAATGCTTCGCGAATCGTTGCCATCCACGGAAGAAGCAGACGCATTGGCAGGCGAACGCGACCAATTGCTGGCCTCGACAAATCAACTCGAGGCGATGGCGCGCGGCAATGCATCGAG